CAACCCAACTTATCTACAATATTCGTCGGTAAATCCACATCTCAAACCCCTTAAGTTTTTTCATTAGTGTTCCAGCTCTCCATGTCGTACAGCAATGTGGAGAATATATAGCAGCATATTAATCTGATTTTAACGTTTAAAATAACATCTATTAATGAGAATTTTCCTTAGTTTATAGAGGGCGGCTCTGGCTTTTTCAATGCGTATTCTTATTTATTTGCTTATATTCCAGTTATCGTTGACATTGGCGCCCAAATAGGTGATATTGGATTCTTTCTAACACACTAAATAACTTTCTACAAATAATAGAACAAAATCTTATTTAATATTTGCATATAGATTTTATAGATGAATCAGTTTATTTGGGCAATGTATACGCATTAGTAATGATGCTTTTCAAAAAAGTTCCGTGACATACTTGTTGAAATATTTATCAATGCATATTCCATTTAAAATATATAATACATAAATAAAGTTATCGTTATCGAAAAAGGTAAATTACAGGCTCTGTTATTTTTGATGTGCTAATATTCGAACAGGCGGTTTCAAATTAACGCTTTTGTCTTAATTACCGAACTATTTATAGAGTGTAGCTAATTGCTTTGTGAATATTTTAAGTTATATTTGGATATTCAGTCTGATAACAGTCTTCAAAAGTGTCATTTTTAACAATTCTGTGTTTTAATATTTATTTATTTCTTGTTTATACTTCAAATAAGTTTAAACAGTTCTTAGAATATGTCAGATATATACACTGATGGCAAAAAAATGCAACACTTTGTATATGTTTATTTATGTTTATGAAAATTATTTCTTCGTAAGGCTTATCTAAAGACAATTGCTCACAGATGACGAGGAGATAAGCCGCCAATGAAGAAAGTATTTTGAGCAACTCTTAAATACAGAAAAATCAACAACGACAGGATAACAAAGACAGTACCAGTTAGCCGAACCTGAAATACCAGGGCCCACACTAGCTGAAGTAAAGATTGCAATTTCGTCCCTAAAAAAAACCATAATGCCCAGACGGCATACAGGCGTAAAGGCCCGATGGCAAAAGGTCAGTTGGTCGCCCAAGAAAGAGATGAAAGGACGCAGTAGCCAGTGATCTACGCAAAATGGAAAATAGCTGCTCAGCATAGAGAAATAACAAATAAGAGAGTGCTTGGTTGCATACATAAAACTGGCACACTCGATGCTAGCGACCTGATGAACTACTTACTCAACTAAACGGCCAGAAAATGGAACGCGGGATATTTAAAATTATTATATTTCAGTAAAGAATCTCAGTTTACAGATAATTTTACAGGAAAGACTTTAAACTGAATTTCCTCATACTCTAACCTAAAATATATGTGAAAAATTATGTGTAACGATCTAAATATATGTTCAGAATCAAAATATGTAAATTTTATTTGTTGTTTTTAGGTTAGAGTATGCAAAAGTTCAGTTTAAAGTCTCTCCTGTAAAATTATCTGTAAAATGAGATAGAAGGATTTCTCGATGCTAAGCCATCGATATTTTCCTCATAAATTTTCAGAAAAATAGGGGACATGAACACTGGAAAAAAAACTACACATGTTTTATTTTTATTAATCCTCACAGGGACCCCCCACTTTCCGCATGCATGTATGGAGTGCTGATAAAACAAAATAGAAAAACATATACAGAACAATTGTTTTGAAATATAAAGTTTTGAGATATAAAACACAGATCAACACAAAATGCATGCATGTCCCCGCTCTTCTTTATTTATCTTATATTTTACAAAATGCAGATATTACAAATTTGATTAGTAGGTAGCCTAAAAATATTCAAAGAAAAATATTACACAATATACAGAGAACTTTACTAAAGCTAAAATAAATACTCTTAAAATAACAACTCTTACAATAAAGTAAAATACTTTTAGGTGATAAACAAATCGATATAACATATAAAATTTACCATTAACTATTTGACTGAAGTACCAAAGCATATTAAAAGAAAATCAATGTTGTGAACTTAAAAAAATAGTTTATTTAAATAAAGAAATGGAGAAGAGTTTAGAAAAATAGGCTAAATAAAATTATAAATGCTTCATCTTATTAATTTTCTTTTTTGTAAATCATTTTTCTGCAAATCTCGATAACTTCTATAAACATCATCATAATATTTCCTAATTATTAAGTCTACAGACACATCTAGAAAATAATTAAACACATAATCCAAATGTTGGTTACAAGTAAACCACTCCAGAGTTACATACTTTTTTATCAAAATTTTAATTTTTTTGGACAAATGGTTTATATGTCCATTATTGACTAATACAGCAATTACAATATCATGAATTTTGGCTAAATCTACTATAAAATTTTTTGTTACATAAGCTAAACTTGATTTCTTATCACTATATTCTTTAAACATTGTAAATGTATGATGTGGTTCTAAAACATCAGATATTAAATTAGCTGCACACAGCTCACATTCTTGAATTATTTTAATTTTCTTGTTATATACCCAGAACATATGCTAATTGTTGCCACATGACCTGTAACATCGTATCAGGTAATGGTAGAGCTAGATGTTCTATTTCATTTACCTCTAAAAGATCTAAATCAATAAAATCATTGTTGGTGATTGAACTATCCAAAAAGTCTTGCAAATTATCCAGAATAGAGCCGTCATCTGTTTCACAATTTTTATTTGAATTAGGAGTAATTAAGTTATTAAGAACAGATGTTTTAAATGATGATATAAACTGGTAGCAATTTGGATTTATATTTTCTGCTCCTAGATGACGGATAGAAGCAAATGAGTTTTCTAAAGGATCTTGATTTAAAGAACGGGTTCTTAAAAACTTAAATCCCAGATCTCTACAAATATTCCACAACTCTTTTGTTGCTACAATAGTAGTTAACCACCCTGACTTAAAAGGCATTACCTTCTTTTTCACTTTCTCATCAATAAACATCCAGCTATTAATTTTTGGAAGAAGACGATTCCACAAAGCGAAATGAGGAGATTTATTAGACATACACCTACGATAAGGCTTTCCACATTCAGGCTTTATTGTTCTGCCATTAAAACTATCAAAAAGTTGATCTATATCATGCACAAATTCAGCAGTATCGATAGCTTGAGAAGGTATATTATTATTTGGGTTACTAACCATCTCTTCTAAAGTAGAAGCAACCGTATGACTGAGGGTCCGTGCGGCCACACCACACTTTCATCTTTAACCGACTGTGATTATTAAGATGTAAATAAACCTCCCTTATCCGCTTAATGGTTGAAACCGTTTTCTTTTGTCTATATTAAAACATTGTCTTATATGATCAATTTTGCCATTTTTGTCTGATCAAACTGAATATGGTACTTTAAAAGAGCATTACGAGTTGACTTTAATAAATGTGGTGGGTCAAAAATTGTCAATATTTTATGATTATTGATGAAAAAGTGAGGCCCTGGTTCATCATTTTCCCTACAAAGTATTTAATAGCGGCACGGTTTGTAGCACCTTGGTCACATATAGTACAGAGTATTTTTAAACCAGTTTCAACTTCTACCTTAGTAATTACCTGTGAAATTAAATACTTCAAATCATATGACTTTACAGTATGTTGTGTAAAAAAAAATGCTATTGGTTGTTTCCAACTTTTGTGCAGACCATTAAGCATAAAAATTAATGCATGATTAGCATACTCATTTTTACGACCCAAGGGACCAAGATCTACATAACCGATTACTTTATCATTAAACTTATCAAAAACTAACTGCTGAGCCAGTGATATTTCATCAAAAACTAAGGAACAATACCTATCTAATGGCCTCATGGTTTTTACTCTTTTAGAAAGTTTCTTTAATAACTGGATATCTATTCCAGCTGCAAAAGGAACATTCGTTAAGAGTTTCTGAAGGGTACTTTTAGCTGGTAATGGTATAACTACGTTTCAAAAATATAACTTTTTCTTTTTAGGAGAAAGATCTTTTACTCTATTTTCATTAATTTCTTTTAAAATATGCAATCGCTTACGTTTAGATGGTGGTGTATCATACTCATTATCATACTGACTGGAAATTGACTGTTTATTATTGACTGGGTTATTAATGGAGGATAATTTTGGAGAAACTATTTGAACATTACTATGAATGTGTACATTTGAAACAGAAATTTCTTCAGAAGAATGTGCAGGTATAGGCAAAATTTGATTATGAACATTGGCATTGAAAGGCACTGCATTATTCAACAGTTTTGTTTTTAAACTGCTTGTAAATTGTGTTTCCTCAAAATGATCTTCACCTAAATAACGCCTAGTTTCAGTAAATTCAATACCAATAATTTCAAACCAGTTATGACGTCTTTTTAAATCTGTTTCTGGAAATCTAAAAAACTTTTATTTTTATAATCTGGGTCTGTGACAGGATAAAAAATTTGTTATTACAAAAGGACGCTAAACACCCATGAACATATTTACCGGGTTTGGACATATTTGAGATTGCAAAATGATAAACTAATAATATTACCTACATACAATACGTCCAATACGGACGATTACAAATACCATAAATTATAACTAAACACAGAAGAACCTTTAGTAAAGAAAGAATTTTGTATATACAAATAAACATACAATATGATTATGTATAACCTAAAACTCTATGCTAAAAAGTCAATGTCAACAATGTAAATTTTCATAGTACAATCAAAATACTTTATTGTACCATGGTAAATTTTAGTTTCATAAACAGCAGCGCCCCGATGTGCTACTTACCTGCGCAGAAACAAATGTGAACAATTTTCCCTATCTATTGATCACTCTCTTATTGTTATTTCTCTATGTATATACCCATGTTTCCAATGCTTCAATTTTGTTCATGATCGATACGTTTAGTACTTTAGTTTAATTTTCTTACGTTCTTGTAATTATCCTAATATCCAGTTACATTAATTGCCTCGTAATTCCATATGTATTTAGAAACAGTGTAGAAACATATATTTGATTATACTTTCTTTTTAGATTCAATGTTAACATCGCTTGGTCTGGTGGATTGAACCCACCTCTTGGAGACGCTGAATATTTAGCTGCATTTAGAAGTATTGTTATGCCCTTAGCAAGGGTGTTCGACCCGGACATTGTCCTTGTTTCATCAGGGTTTGACCTCACCGAAGGCCATCCCGATCCCTTGGGAGGATACAAAGTATCACCGGCATGTTTTGGGTAAGTAGATTACTCTCACTTATATTCATACGTTTTAACGTAGACAATCACTAGAAATCTTAATAAAGCCTAGAATTTGATGAATTAAGTATAGAAAATGAACTAGACAATACAAAATTACATAACAAATTTAATTAATAATACAAAATACATCGTACGAGTGAAATTATAATTAATGGCACCGAATAGTTACGCTGCGCTAATGACAGTGTGGATAAATACGTAAGCAAAGCGCTCGGATCGAATCAGTACGAAAATAAGATTTCGCGCTGGATCTTCGTAACTGACGCCTACTGTTTCTTTTTGTTCCTTTCGTATATACAGGGTGTCTAATTAAATCGGCACCATAATATGGAAAACTTTTTTATTTTTAGTTTTATAAGAAAAAGTATTTCTTTATAAAAAGTTCTGTATGTTTGCGACGTATAGATTGTTCTGTACAAGTTTAAATATCAGATACATTTTCGATACTTGATTTTACCCATGAAAACTGTTAATTCCAAGGACATAAAATAATAAAACAATTGTTTTCACTTAAGACCATAAAAAGAGATAGCGCCTTTGTAAATTAGTGCCATTTAGGTTGTTTTCATATCTACATCTATGGTTAGGTAATAATATATCACTGTTGAACTTATACGCCCCTACAGAAACAAGCAATGCAGACGAAAAGGAAATCTTTTATGATTGGGTCGAAGAGGAGATAGAAAAAATACAAAAAGCAGATGTCAAACACGAGTGACAATGGGCAAAGACTATGTAACTATTTAGCAACAGGAACAAATTTGTTAATAAACTCAACAAAATTTAAACACAGATGTAAGAACAGATACAATGACATGGTCACAGCCACTATAAGACGACAAGTTAAAATTGAAACAAAAAAGAAAACCTAACATAAAGAGGACTGTCAATAAAATGAGTAATGAAAAAGTAAGAAAAAAATTGAAGAGGCAATAACGGTTCAAATAAAAGAGAAATATAAAGCAGAAGATATAAACATAGAATGGGAGACGATCAAAAAAACAATAGAAGAAGGTGCAAATATGCAGGTAGGTAAAAGTCAGGATAAAACAAAAAAACGGATGGTATAACAAGTATGTAGAGCAATATCAGGAAAAAAGTGCATTCCAGAATTAAAAAGATACAGGTAAAGAGGAAGACAGAGAAGAATATGAAAAATTAAGGAAGAATGCTAAGAAAGTGATTAAGGCAAAATATAAGAAGATGAGTAGACGAAAAAATGCAGGAAATAGGCAGGAAAGAACAAACAGAAATACAAAAAATTTTTACAAAAAGCTTAAAAAACAAATCAAAAAATACAAAGGCAAAACAAACGGAATAAAAAATAAAGAGGGAATAGTGATAATAGAGGATCAAGAATACAAGCAAGTATGGAGGGATTACTACAGAGAGCTCTTGACGGAGGAAACTACAGGAGAAAGAAATGAATAACGAGGAGGAAACGGTACACGAAGAAGGCGCAGACGAAATAGATGAAGTAGACATCGAAATTTCCAAAGGACCAACATTAGAGGAATTGGAGGAAGTAATACAGAGAAGCAAGAATGGAAAAGCCCCTGGTAAAGATGGAATTAATGTGGAACTAATAAAATACGCAGGAAGGGAGCTGAGAAAAAAATACTGGCACTATTGAAAAATATATAGAAAGAAGAGAAAATACCAGGGGACAGAGAGGTAAGGCAGATCATAACAATACATAAAAAGGGAGACATAGCTAGAATTTGTACTACGAAATATAAATAAAGGAAATTTAAGAACAAGAGATGGTGAAATAATTGCATATGCAGACGATATTGCTATTATTGCAAAGAACAGGAAAATAATGAAAGAAATGCTAGAAGAGATAAAAGAGAAAGAGGAGGTAATGGGACTAAGAATAAATCAAGAAAAGACAAAAATATTAAGATAAAAGCATATGAAAGAAAAAATCAAAATAGGAAGTTCTGAGTTTAAAGAAGTAGAATACTTCAAATACCTAGAAGTTACAATAAGCAAAACCGGAGAAAGGAAGTTCGAAATAAAAGAAAAAATATTAGCAGCGAATAAAGCTTATTTTGCAAACAAAAGATTAGTTAACAGAAAAAAAACTAACTAAGAAAATTAGATGAACATTTATACACCATAATTAGGCCAATATTATTATATGCAGGAGGAACAATGACGATGATCAAAAAAGATGAAGAGACTTAAGAAGCGGAAGAAAGATTATAGAACTATACGGGACCAATCAGAATAGAAAAAATGAGTATAGAAGCAGAACAAATGCAGAGATTAAGGAAGAACTTAGGAAGACATCGTGACTAAAAGAAAGCAATGCAGAGTTAGATGATTAGGTACCGTTTGGCGAGCAGGAGATGAAGCAGTGAAGAAAACCTCCAAAGGGCAAGAGTCAAAAAATGGAGAGGATAAACTAGGAATAGGAAAAAATGGAGAAATATCGTCAAGAAGATAACATAAACAAAAGGGACTGATTCACCTAAGAAATAGGATCTAGAAATCATTCGCGGTTTAACCCTACGCTGGGGTGTATAGCCAATATTATCTATCGTTGTCTTAATCTCAAATTGCAAAATAAAAGGTTAACAAAGACATTTCAGTAAAAATATCTAACCAATATCTCTATATATATAAAATTTATTGGAATTATATTTTTTAGTTACATGACACGCCAACTGATGTCACTGGCTCGTGGACGAATTATTCTAGCTCTAGAAGGAGGATACGATCTGCCCTCGATATGTGACTCGGCCGAAGAATGTGTCAGAGTTCTTCTTGGCGATCAGCCTTCTCCCATCAGTGCTATGGAACTGTCTCGCATTCCTTGCCACAACGCTATACTGACAATGCAAAAGGTAAGAATATGTCGTATTTTTAATTGTTATGTAGTGATTTTAGTTTCTAGCATATATAAATATTATTTTAAACTCTTTTATAGAGTGCAGCAATTAATCTATCTCCATTACATAAAATTTTCCTTCTTTAATTTTGCACTTGGACTATTAAAAACATTATTTATAATAAATATTATGTTTTTATGGGATTAGGCCACAATTATTGGTTTTGATTGTAATAAAACTCACATTTTTCATTAATTTAATTTACTAATAACTAATATTTGACGTTTCAATTTCCACTCCGCACATCGTTCTCAAAAAATGGTATTTTGTACAAATTATGTTAAAATTTGAATAAACAAAGATTTGGTATTGGTTATATCATTTCAACTTTGACATGATTGACCTATAACCTATAGGCCAACAACCTTGGTGGCTTCAACACATTTTGAGGGTGTCAAATCTATGGTTTGCTACACATTTTTCTTCATTAAGTAAGATGAGAATTGCTTCTTTGATTTTTCTGTTTTATGTCTGTTATTTCATGATTATTGATGCTTCCTATTGTGGTCTGTTCTAGTTGTATGCTTTGATGTATGGTTCATACTCGTTAATCCTGAAATTAAGTGGTTTTGCTGTTTCTCCCACGTAGAAATTGTTACATTCACAGTGTATTTTATAGATGCAGTTTTTTTATCTTTCTTGTGTTGTTGGGTTTGGTTTTGGACAGGATGAACCTCAGTGTGTTGGATATTTTGAATGCTGTTGTGATGTTATACTTGTTTCCTATCCTCTTCAGTTTTTTTGATAAGTCCTTTACATATGGTACTGTTGTCATTTTTGAGTCCCTTCCTGTGAGTGTTTCTCGATTGTTTGTGGTGTTGTGTTGTTTTCTGTTTTCAATCTTGTGGAATTCCTTGTTTATAAATGACAGTGGGTAGTCATTTTTAGTCAGAACTTTTGTTAGCAGGTTTTTCTTTTCCTGAAATGCATTTCTATTAAGCAGGAGCTTCGTGCACTATCATATAGGAATTTGATGATTCCTTTTTTGATGCTTACGTTGTCGTTGGAGTGGTAATTTAAATATCTGTTGGCGTGAGTGTCTTCTGTAGACTTTGGTTGCATACCCTGTGTCTTTCATTTTGTGATTAGCACATCCAGAACCAGCATAGTTTCATGACATTGATTATTTATAATGTTTTAGGTCATAGCAGTCCATAGTCCCCGTTGGCCTTGTCTTCAAGAAGCTGCCAAGAGCGCCATGTGTTCTTTCAACGACGCGATTCGTAGCGAGAAAGAAGACAAAGATACCATCAACGCCATGGCAAGTCTATCAATGCAACACCCCGTTACAAGCATGGTCGTGTCGCCCATCGGCTACCTTCCCACCAGCAGTCCACAAAACGTTATTCGACCCAGCGCCTGAGACAGAACTTGTTAACGCTGTGTCGGAGGAGATTTTTCTTTATTTGAACGAAAATTTAGAGGCCGCTATGTACTATGCAGTTGTCCTACGGGGTTTTGGGACGGAAATTGCGACGAAACGTCGCAGGACATCGCGTATATTAAGGCATTTGATGTTTACTAAATGTGAGAAGTTGGTGCAATGAATTTATGTAATTTCGAGAATTCCTAGGAAATTTGTTAAAAGTGGGGGATGTTGATGTTACACGTGCAAAAATTGGTGTTTTAAGATTATAAATGTCGAACTGTTTGAAATTTGGACGCCACTGGGCAAAGCTTGGAAGTTTCGTACGGCCTAAGGCAATACACTAACAAGTTGTTATTTATTAAATATTAAATATAAATATAAACCGAAAGAAAATCATATATGAATGATTAAACAATATGCAAATTAAATACTAGTCGGGCTCCGTTTTTTAATATTCTCTTTGTATACAGTCGCCCAATATTTTGAAAGTGTGTACTATAGCGATGTAGTGCATTTAGATCCATAATCATAGCAATCTATGATTGATTTTATATAATTATTACCTTCTAGCTTACTATAATCATTTTGATCCGTAGGATCCAGCTGGATTTTAAAACTAAACTACAACGCTCTCTTCTATTTGTTTGCGTCCAATTTTGTGCATAAGCTACTCCTTTGCATAAAAATATGTGTTATTTATCATTAAGCGTGCCCAAATATAGGGATCTACAGTTTAATGTCGATTCTAAACGACCAAGAGGAGTTGTGTCAATCAAATTCAATACTCGGTGGTTTTATAGTTTATTCGTCTTCCGGGTTTGGACCGTGTCATTTGTGAGTGACCCAAAAGTGGGTTCATCTCGACGTTTCGCTACAATTGTATGTAGCTTCTTCAGGAGAACAAAGAAAAAAGAAAAAAGGAAAAGAAATCAAAGGACAGGAAGATGGGTAGTTAGCAACGGTAACTCAGTTACTCAACGCAACCAGAGGCGAATACTAACTACCAAGATGGGCATTTGGTCACAGTAACTCAACTACTTAACGCAGCCAGAGGTGAAAACCAAATGCCAGGACAGGGATTCACGTCCAACAGCTCAGAACACTAACGCGTCGAGAGGCGGGGAGTGAATCCGACGATTACTCCGCTACCGCTCTATTTATAGTCGCGGTGACCTGTCGTGTCGGGACGTATCGGCACACTTCGTGGCGCGAACGTCAAGAAGCGCACGCTGGCCAATCATGTGGCTGCATTGTGGTAGCGGGACCGGACGGCGGCTCTAGACTGAGATTCCAGATGGGAGACAAGTGGACAGAAGAAGCTACATACAATTGTAGCGAAACGTCGAGATGGACCCACTTTTGGGTCACTCACAAATGACACGGTCCAAACCCGGAAGACGAATAAACTATAATTCTGACTCTGGCCGTGGAAGCCTACGATTTCACTCGGTGGTTTGTAATTACCAAATTTTATGACTAATAGAAAACCTGGAAGAATTAAGGGGCATTGTTGGATTTTTTGAAATGCATCAACGATTATTCACTGTAACAAAATATATTAAAATCGTCCGTCGTCTGCTGATATCGTTATATCTGGAAACAATGTAATTGTCTTCAACACTATCCAACAAATACACAAATACAGCATAACTTTAAAGAAAAATCAGTGACAAGGAACAAAATGTTTCGTTACATCTATAGAACTAATTGAGTCTAAGCTGGAATTAGACAATAAAATAAGTCAGCAGAAACACAGTTCAGATATATCAGATTAATCAATTCCTCAGCAAAGCTTAGATTATATAAAACGACAATAATGTCTACCATAACGTTTGATTTATAATAATAGAACAAATTTAAATGAAAATATTACGGAAATCGACGTAAAACCATTTCAAAGCAAAGTAAAAGTGAATATGAATGTGTAATATTGACGACATTCGAGAATTTGACAAGTTTTGCAAACGGAAGTTAACTCACTTTACACGTTTAGGGTAATTCTTCGTCAACTGTGCAAAGTTAGTCAGACGACTCCTCTCGATTTGACTTAAACTTTACAGGTATATTCTATATTATAAAATATGTTGATTTACCAAATTTCAACCTTCTAGGTCTAAAAATATCAGTATATTAAATGGTATTACATTCACTTGAATGACTAAATTCACAATTTTTTCGGAATTTTACGTCTTTTTGATAGTTTTATACAATTTCTCATTATTTTCTCCACCCAAATGCCATTCTGAACACAGATATGGATTTCTCACAAAATTTTACACAAAACAGTCTATTTTAATATGATTTTTTAGCAATTAATAGCTTTCATCACAAATTTTTTCTTCCATTTTTTTTGTACTGTTTGTTGCAAATAAGTATGTTCGGTTAGGTTAGTAATATAAATAAAAATAAAGTACCTGTAAACACACAAAGATTATTTTAACATTTTAAAAAATATATGTATAGTTGTCAAAAAAATACATATATTATTGTGATATCTGTACAAAAAGGAACAAAGAAGTGTTGTTATGGAGTATCTAAAACTGATAAACGATAGAAATCATTTAAAAACAATACATGTTATTTTATAAATTTTCCAAAGCCTTTATTTATAAACAAGTAGCAAAGAAAAAATATGACAAGTAATGACACCTAATCCTTCAATTGTTGATCAAAATCGTGCGAAAAACATGACAGCTGCGCATGCACTTGTTGTTTGCGCAGCTTAATAATAATAACACTATTATTATATTTAATTAGAGCATACTGTAATATAAACAAGTTGACATACTGAACTCACAGGAAGTCTGCAAGAGTGTCTTATCCGCTTGTGCCACAACTCGGGTGTACCACGAACAATGTTAACCACATCTGAATACAATTGCAATTCTATAAAATATAGATTACCAATCAATTTTCCAGTAATAATTGCAGTATCAACCCTCATAATTTTTACTTCCTTATTTTCAAAAATCACACGAAAACCTTTTTCTTCAATTTGTATTACTGATAATAGGTTATGACAAAGATTGTCACAAACAAAAACATCATACAAAGTAACTGAAAGTCCTTCTTTACATATAGCTGAGAAACTACCTTGCAATTTTGCTGCTATAGTTTCACTAACCTTTGCTACATTCATTTGTCTATCCACTGCTTTGGAATTAGTAAAAAATTGAATGTATTTTGACAGAAACAGGTGATTTATACAACCACTATCAACAACCAGATATACACTATTTATTACATTTGAATGACAGCTGACTGCAACTTCCTGTTTTGTGTGGCTTCCAAGAAAATGCAATTTCTGTATTTTCAACATTACTCGTATTAGCAGTTTCACGATTTTTAGACAATCTTTTTGAACATTTCTAACGAATATGCTCTACAGTCATAAGAACGAGCTTAAAAAGTATGTTGGCTCTTACCATTATATTTATCATGGCCAACAAAGGCATGCGAAGGAACAGGTACAATAGTAAGTTTCTTTGTTTTTATACGATCATTTTCTGCCATTAAACTATTTTTTACAAAATTTACAGTTACTTTGAATGGCTCAGAACGAAATAAAATTTTGTTGGGCATTGCATATAAAAGTGTGGTGATCTTTTCACTATCGTCTATTTTACCTCCTGCATCATGTACTTCACTTAAGGTTTTATCAAAATCCACCAAAGACTTACCCAAATTGCCGTCTTCTTTAAGTACTAAGTTGCGCAACTTTTTTTCGATTTGTACACGAGACTGAAGTCGTGTATTTTCTGAAACAGCTTTAACAGCTTCCATTATTCATATCGGAGTTTCTTGGGTTTTAGTTATTTCTAAAAAATTTGGTATAAGAACTTTGGTAAATCATCATATTTTATAGCATAGACTATGCCTGTAAAATTTAAGCCAAAAGGAAAGGGATCGCCTAACCAACTTTACACAGTTGACGTGGATCTTAAATAAAAACATACTTTATCGATTTTTGACTTGAATTCATATCTTTAATATTAAATAATTGAAAGATATTTATAAACAACTTCATATTTATTAATCAGAATGACTATTTCGGTCGATCAATTTGAAAGTATTGCTATACAGTATAAAGAAACGCATTTGCCCAGTGGCTCAGTTCGACGGTTGTTCAATTACAAAGATGAAGATACTTTTTTAAAATTTGTTGGAATATATTGTTGTAAAATTATCATTGAAACCACACAAACAAAAACTCAACTAGTTTTAAACAAATGCAGGATGCTCTGAACTTCAACGCTTAAGCAGACGATTTATTGTATCTGTCAAGAATTCTTTTGCAATTTCTATTAAATTAATAATTATTTATTTTTTATATGTACATTTTTTACCTTCTTAATTAATAATTTAAAAAATAACTATTTGAAATATAATCCTTCAATATATTTGAGTAAATTTCATTTCTTAACTGCTAAAATGGGCAGAAGTTTTTGCAATTAGGATTTTCTCTGATTAGTGTGTAACATGTATGTTTTTTTCTGAAAATTTAGTAATACCCCGTATAGTATACGAGGAACAGTGACTAAACAGAATTTTATTTTCGGCAAAAATTCAATCATTTATTTTTGTTACATCTGTAGCACTGACGTTGAACCTCCATTGACAGCTATGCACGATCGTCATTCCTACCCATTGCATGACTATTCCTCAGCCAGGATGCCCTCCGACGCTTCTGAGTTCTTTTGATTTTAACAAATCGTAAATATATTGGTAGTTGAGTATAGGAAAGGTTCCGGCTTTACAAAATACTCAATAGACTGTTTCGTCTCTACCACCGGTTTTTGTATCTACAGTACATATAAAATTCGTTCGTATATCCTCCAGGAAATAAAATCTTATTCACTGACAACTTTTGGGTCGTATTGAGATCTTCTTGAAAAGAAAAAGTCCAATAAAAAAAGATAAAGAAATAACCGAAGGACAGAATACATTGCATTCTTTCTATCTCGTCGTCCAGATTTATCCATATGGCTCACACTCCCTCTAATGGGAAAATTCACTCACCCCAGATACTTACTGTATCAAAAGGATTGAGCTTTGATGAGACCAGACTCTTTTTCCGTATTATCGAGCCCTAGATGACTTGGTATGCTAGAGCAGTGTTTCCCAAATGTCTCAAAATTGCGGACCCCAAAATTAGACAATAGGATCATGGGGACCCCCAGAAACAGTTTCGTTAGAAAAATAAAAAAACAACTATTGCGTTTTTTAAATATGTTATTTAATTAATAATTAATAAAAGAAAATAGAAATAAAATACAATGATTACATTATAAAACTTATAAATTTTCAGCAGTTTTAAATTTTAATGAAAAGAATGGAACACTGATTTTTCCTTCATAATTTTTTGTAAATCAGGTCTAATATTTGAAATTTTTAACCTTAGATCTGAAACAACATCCAGTCGATTTCTTTGTTTTGATTTTAAAATAACGTATACAGAGAAAGCCTGTTCACATAAATACGTCGTACAAAATGGAATCAAATGTTTCATAGCCTTTTCGGAGAGATCGTTGTAATCAGAATTAATTTTAATCCAAAACTGAATTAAATCGTTGTCGTTAAAAATATCTTTTTTAGAACTGCTACAAGACAAGTCCACGAGCTGATCTTGTTGTTTTTTCTGTAAGACTAGCATTTTCTTCAATTCTTGATGTAACAAACGGATTTCTAATCCAGCTGTTTTCATCATTTGGTGCAGGAAAATATTCACGAAAACTTATAACTACATTCCGCAAATGCTCGCAAATTATAAGTTGAATCTCTTGTGGCAAAGTTTCTTCCTCGGATTTCAGAAACGAATCTAAAGTCGGAAATGAACTTAAAGATGATTGTTCCACACGGTTAGCCTAAATTTGTAATTTTTGTATGGTGGCTTCTATTT